GCCTTAGGCATGCTAAGCCAAGGCTTGAGCACTGAGCTGCATCCCTAATCTCTGTACCTAAATTTAAATGCACATTTTGCTAGTGGGTATTTGATTTTATTTGGTATGCTTACCTACACACCTAAAAGTACAGATATTTTCAACTTAAAAAAAATTTTTTTGGACTTTTTTTTTTTGCTTTTTGAGGGGTCATGCTATGTAGTGTAGGTTGGCCTTGAACTCACTCTGTAGCCTAGACTGGCCTCAAACTCACAGTCATCTTCCTGCCTCAGCCTCCCAAGTGATAGGATTACATGTGTGCACCACCACACCCAGCTTTTTTGGACTTTTCCCATAGGGAAAATTTGATATTTGAGACTGTGTTATAGTCGGACAATAGGGCATAAGTTGAACTTCAATAAAATTAAATTGATTCACGTAAGTGGTCTACTGAGCACTTAACCAAGTCGTACTGTTTGTTCCCTTCTACCAGAGGCATAAGAAACTGGAAAGCTTGATCCTACAGAGTGGCTTGTTCCGCCTCCATTTACCAGTCTTTCTGAGACCGTACCATGAAGCACGTCAACAGCCGGGGCTGCGGTTCTCTCCTGGAACCTGTTAATCCCTCTTTTGAATCAGGGATCACAGCAGACCGCAGCCCCGCATGGGAAGCCACACCCAGAGGGGGCCACACCTACAGCACCCACACGGCACCCTCCGTTCGGGTACTGTCCCGTGAGGCCTGAGTCTTCCCTAATAAGCAGGCCCTACGCTGGCTGCCGCTCTCCACCGCTGCGCCCAGCCCCAGCTGGGATTCTCTAAAAGTCCTGCTGCTTCTGCAGCCTGCACCATGCACTTACAATTCAGTGCACCCAGAATGCTTTGCGGATAGTGTTTCTCTCTCTAAAAGAATTCGGAGAACAGGGATCAAGAGTAACAATTCTTTTACGTTCCCCCAGAGTTGATTGGCACTCGATTAACTCTTTTTTATAATTTTAGAAAACTGGTCTGAGTACGTGCTTGCAGTACGCGTGGACTACATTCATTGTGGGGAGCCGGCCCGCTGTCACAGCGCAGCTTAATTCTTCCTCCCCCTCCTGCTCCCCGTCACTAGATCAAATGTCATCTAACGACACTGTGTCATTTCAAGGGAAGGATGCAAAGGGCTCTGGTCAAGGACAAACTAAAAGAAAAACAGGAGTCGTGTCTATTGCAAACCCGTTTCTGGCAAGGCTGCTGCCTCTGAGACCTTCAGAATATTCACCTACCGGCCTGAATCCCACAGCGGGCTGCTGGCAGCCGGCCCACAGCCCGGGGCCCAGCGTGGAAGGCGGGCACTGGCTCCTAACTCGTGTCCCTGCACCCACACTCCGATCGACTAACATGACCGCCCGGGACACCGCTAGTCAGGCTGTGTCCCTCCCCTGCTCTGATCCTCTGATCCGATCGTTGTCGTGAGGCTGAGTCCCAGCAGGAAACAGATGGCATAAAGTGGGTGAACTGAGGAAGTCTCTACGCAAACTGTTTACAGTGGTGGGGGTTGGTGTGGGAGCCCACAGGGCGTGCAGCACCGGAGCTGGGAGCTCGGGATCCCCTCCTAAACCGCAAGGTGTGAAGGCAGGAGCGGAGAGGGAGACGGGAGCTCCACGGAGCAGGCACCCCAGAGGAGAGGCGCCCCTCAGCCCACAGGAACTCACACCACCTGCAGGAGGGAAGAAACACGCGGTCTCATTCCTCTGCCTCCTTTTCACCTCCTAGCAATCCTTGCAGGGCCAGGCTGAACCAGCAGCACTAGCAGAGGAGTCCGGTCAGCGGTCAGCGCAGGTCCACCCCCTGGGGCACATCTACACAGCAGGGGGGGCAAGGGTGAGGGAAATCCTGGAGGCAAATGGAAGGTCTCCAGCCAAATGGCTTCCTGTCTCAGTGGGGGCGTTTTTCATAATGTACTACACAGCCTATAAGGCCCTATATGAGCCGATCTCATTTCCTGTTCTCCTGCTTGGTAACCTCCTCACTCACCAAGCACTCTCCTGCCACAGGACCTTTGCATCTGCTGCTTTCTCTGCCCAGAACACTCTTCCATCACATCTAGGTGTGACCTGCCTCCCACATACCTCTGATCTCAGATCAAACGTAACATCATCAGTTTTCCCTCACTACCATTCCTGGAGCACCCTATCCCTTTACGCTGCTTTATTGTTCTCTACATCATGTCTGTCTGTCTGTCTTCCCCTCCCTCCATTTTGTGGTGCTATGGATCGAACCCAGGTTCTTAGGCATGCTGAACACTGTCACCTAGCTACACCCCATCCCTGATTTTTTTTTTTTCCTTTTTTAATTGACTGCCTCTCTAACCTGGAACAAGTTTCCTAAAAACATCAAATTGATCTCCTTTATTCATGGACTGATAACAAGCACCCAGAGCAGTGCTCAGCACATAAAAGGAACTAAAGCATTTGAGGAATGAATCGATGGAATAGAAGGACCCATAACAAACTTCTTTGCACTGTTTATAAGATTATCAAAAGTTGTTTCAAAAGTTGTTTCATAAAGCCTCCTGATAATCAGGTAGGAATTGAGCATTTGTTTTTACGGCAATGGCACAAAACTGAATAGTTAGCAAATCACCACGAGTAAATGGAAGTTTTGATCAAGACCAAAAAGATAGCTCGGTTTGGTGGCACACACCTGTAATCCCAGTACTCTAAGAGGCTGAGGCAGGAGGATTGCAAATCCATGCCCAGGCCAGGCAATAAAGCAAGACCCTCTCAAAATAAAAATTAAAAAAAGGCCTGGGAATGCAGTTCAGCATGAAGGCCTGGGTTCAGTCCTGTGGCCACCGCCAAAGATAACAGTATTCTCTGTGAACAACTCTTCCTTACAAGTTGTTATTTCTGATCAATGTATCCTTACTACCCCACCAACCAGTACTTCTCTAAATCTCTGTCTTCTCCTATGTAAAATGTATAGGAACTAATAACAGATACAATGTTTTTTGTTTGTTTGTTTGTTTTGAGACAGGGCATAGCTATGCAGTTCAGGCTGGCCTTCAATTCACTAGCCCTCCCTGGCCTTAAGATCATAGCCATCCTCCTGCATCAGCCTCCTGAGTGCTGGGATTACAGGCGTGCACCACCATGCCCAGCTGGCTTCACTTCTGAAAGATGCTCTACAACCATCAAGACCCAGCACCCTTCCCGGCATGGGCCTTGACCTCCCCCTCTTCAGATGAGAACATAGTGTCCATTTTGAATTGCTCATTATTCCTACTCAAAATATAAGTACGTGCTTCAGCGAAGCAAGCAAGAACTCAGCAATCTTCTTAAAAAAAAAAAAAAAAAAAAAAAAAAAAGCCGTATACATAAATGGGAAACAGCAGATTAGAAAAGCTCCTGAAAACAGGTTTCTTTTATTTGCCTTTCTTAACCATGAAAATCTGAGGCAAGAGGCTGGCAAATTTAAGCCCAACCCCAGGCAATTTAAGTGACTCGGTGACCCTGTCTCAAAATGAAACTTCAAGAAGGGCTGGGAATGTCGCTCAGGGTGAAGGCCCTGGGTTCAATTCCTGGTCTCTGCATTAACAGACCAACCTCTGATACCCTTTGCTCCCCTGGCATTCCAGCCAGACCCCTATCTGCTAGGTCAATTCAAGCAGCTAGGAGAAAGGTAATTCCCAAGGCTGGGGCTGGAGGTAACCCCATAGTCAAAGGCCAGGACAAAAGCAAGAGGCCTGATCTGGATCAGTTCAACAATCCATCATTTGGGAACACTGCAAAGATCCTGTCGGATTTTCACTGACGGCAGACTTTTTTGCAATCTTTGGTCAAAAACTTCTGTAGGACACAATGGTGAGTTAACTAACCTAGAGACCTAGATTCAAAACATAAAGGTTTCCAAGAAACGTAAATCTCCAGTTAAAATACTCCCTGTGCTCCTGTGTATGACCATATATTGAAGTCCTTGTTTTTGTTAAAATTTGTATTTACAGCTATAACTGTATAATGACTGCTGTTGATTGTGCCTAAATAGAGGCTTCCAGCTTCAGGTATGAAAGACAAAGCAGGTCCCTCCAAGGTTAAGCCTGGAGACTGATCTTACTAAGAGATCTTATTTTAGTAAGCAACTGGACGCTTATTTATTAGTGCTGAAAATAATCATCTGACCACTGCTCCTCGCCACAGATGGATAAACAGCTCTACAACTAACTTGGGAACAATTCCAATTGCAGAATGAGAAGGAAAAAAAAAAAGAAACTACAGTTCACTACTCATTCCCTCAAACATTTCATAACGACAGGCTGGACGCTGCCTCTCGGCCTTCGTGAGGACAAGCGGTCCAAAATCCATACTTCAAACGTCAGCGCTTCCCAAAGCGCCCCGCTTTCCGATCTTCCCTCAACCGGATTCTCGCTCAGCGATTGCTCTGTTTTTGTACTTCCAGCCGTTAACACTGCGTCCAACCCAGAGCTGGCCCCAAGTGACACCAACGCGCCGATCACGCGCAGGCCCCAACCTGGCCTGCAGGTCAGAGGGGAACCGGCACGAGACGGCCTAAAGCAGCCCGGCCGCTGCGTGCGCTCCGCCCCCCAGAGCAGGG